AAGCTGAGGCTGTTACTAAAATGCTATGATAACAATTGACATAAATTATAGCTATACATCCTTTCCACGTTCGCTGCTGATTGATCTGACAAACAAATACATAGTAGGCTTGCGGGTGCACCATGTGAGATAGAGGGAGGATTGAGGAGTCCCGAAAAAGGACTCTCGGTAATCTTTCTTGAGGGTTTTGTAGTCCTGAAAAGGACTGTTGGTATAGTCTTGAAAAAGACCGTTGGTTATCCTTCTTAGCTTATAGTTCTAAGGAGAACTATAGCGCTTGGAGAGGATGAGTGACTACAAAACCCCAAGAAAGATTACCGAGAGTCCTTTTTCAGGACTCTTCAATCCTCCCTCTCTCTCACATGGTGCACCCGCAAGCCTACTGTGTATCTACATCACCATGCAAGCCGACACTTACAAGCAGCATGAAACAAATACATGTTTATAAGTCATTGGAATACCTTTTTTAAACACCGAAATGATTAAAAATTACTGCTAACAATACTTAATTTAATAATGATAATATTCAGCGTTTAAAAAGCGCTTAATACATGGTCCATAATTATCTCTAAGCGCTTTACAGATATATTGATACCCCGGTCATCGGATTCAGACTTGCCCGAACACAATGTATTCATATTCTCCGCTCCCTGGGGAGTATTCTCACCAGGCGCCATTTTACAGACGCTCACAATGCTGAGCAAACTACATTAACGTTTCCAGCCTACAGGGTTCTCTTTCAACACCTGGGTGGAGAGTAGCAAATGTAGATTAACGTCATGCCAAAGAACGTTTGTGCCGTGTTTGGATTTGAACCCAATACCTTGTGATCTACAGTCCGGTGACTTAGCCACTAGACCATAACACCTCTACAAACGATCCCAGTATACAATTTGGGTGGTAAGCGTAATTAATTTGATCTTTGCAGCTGCATCGCCTTCAGTGCGGGTAGTGAAATGTAATTTACATAAGGTAAAAGTGAGGGACTAATAATTATGTTAGATACACTTATTCTAAAAACATACATAATTATCATAGAATGTTTTATCTGCTGATATTGTTTACTTCTGTCTTTAATTTGCGTCAGACTATATACATTTCATTATAGTTAGGAAGAAATCAATTTTGGGGGAAAAAATGTTGGGGCAAGTCGCTGCTCGATTCTCCTGTTATTCTGACTACTTGGGAAAAAGTCAGACATTTAAACCACATTAACACAGACAAATTTGCTGGACTAATATATTATACAAATCAAAAGCATTAATAGATTACACGAGCTTTGAATATTTGTATGTTTATTCAGCGCCCAACAAAGTACTTTATTCATGCTTTTTCATATTTTAATTTTATTCTCTGTAGATTTCCCACAAGAAGATTTATAAACATACGACCTATTTCCTATTTTATATACTTTTCTTTCAGTCTACTCCTTGTAATGCTCTTTTCTCTAAAGAAGTTGCTCTCAGATGTTCCATTATGTACAAATAAATCTAATAATATAAACGTGTTTTGTTTTCGCAGATCCATTCTACGAAATAAAATCATTCATTCACAAATATAAACATCGAAGAGGAAGAATATACTGTCTTCCTAATATTTTCTCTCGGAATTAAAAAGTGGAGGGCTGCTTGCAGGAAAATCACAGATGCCAATTTGCGTTTGATCGATCACAAATGTCAAAATTCATTTCTGTCTTATCGGATTTCCTCAATCTTTCATTCATCTGTATCTCTCATTTTCGACTTTCATCATACCCAACATTACATTAGGAAGAAACTTCCCATTTATGTTTAAGGGGCATACATATGATTAAGGGGCGCGGCTTGCCATTTAACTTAGATACTCTGTCACTCCTATGGTACATTGGAAAGGGATCTCTCTCTAGGAGTTCAATACTGAAGAGCAACATGATTGGGGGAGAGGGGGAGGTAATGACCCCGTCCTCCGACTCACCCCCCCCCCCCCCCCCCCATAATACTGTGAATCCGCTGGTTAAGGTGATCCCATCTTACATCTTCTGATGGAAATATCAAAATTCGCAAATCGATGGTGTAGAAAAATTGACGCCCTTACACTAGTCTCATAGTGCTGACACTGATGCGCAAAAGGATCGTTTGTGCCTGCAAACTACGCTTACACGACTACATCTGCATCCAAAGAAAACACATGATAATGCACATCTCAATAGGCCATTTTCGTAATGTGGTAAAATTTAATGCACAAATCTTGTTTGAGTGCCTCGTTGTAAATTATTGCATTCACCTGTTTCGAAAGCGAATTGCATACATTACGTGTTGTTCGGTAGGACAATCCACAATATTTGTCCTATACCCAGCAACAATTAAAACAATAACTAATTGATTCAATAATGCATACACCCCAAACCCCCTCCCCCCCCCCCCCCCTCTCTCTCTCTCTCTCTCTCTCTCTCTTAATATATGCCTCCTACTTGTATTCAATAATCACTTTCAGAGTGCCTTTACTAACTAATCAAATCAATATCACATGCACCGTACGTTCATTCTTTTTTCTTTTTTTACAAACGTCTGATTTTTAATATCAATATTGTTCAGATAGGCCCTCTGATTTTGAACAATACACTGAAGTTAATTTGTATATCCATTATGAAATAGACAAAAGCGCGAAGGTCTATGTATACAATGGTGTATGAACACCAAAAGCGCGAAGGTCTATGTATACAATGGTGTGTTAACACGCTTTTTCGGGAAACTTGGGTACATCATAGTTGCTTAGGTATAGAATTGCCAATTGAAGTGTACAGATTAATCTGAGTAGAGGTCCTAATTCGTAGCAGTATTAGTAGAAAGAAGTAGTAGAAAAATATGACTTTCTTTATGATAGGTTTCTTTTAAATAATTTTCTACAAGGTGGCAACAAATCTATGAAAAAAGGCATCGGAAATATTTGTGAGTTAATAAATCTCGTATCAGTTCGGAGTTTGCACATTGCAAAGTTAAAGGATCTCATTTTCACATTAAATTATTTGATTTTTCTTTATCGAATATCGTTATTTAAATAATGTTTTGATCAACTGATTTAATTAATTCACTATTTTAAAATCAATGCCACAAAATCTATATGTATCTTCAGTCATTGGCATATCTATACGGGGTATAGGCACTTGACGGACATAAACACAAAACAAACCTAGACGAGGTTTGCTCCCTCGCACATTTTGCTTTAGGATCTTGTAATATAGTTTATGAAGATTTGAATTTGGAAAAGAATAACATTCACATTCCTTTTCTCCATTTTTTATAAGTTTCATCAGCCTCTTGTTAAATATTGCAATCTTAATAAGTTACACTACAGTGTATACAATTGTCTTTTGCAAGGTTTCAACATTAAGCCACTTTGAATCTCGGTTACCATATTAAATTCCTCGATTATATATTTTTTGAATTTTCGTTACTCTTGGGCCCCATTTGAGGAATAAGGGGACAGGAGTCACTGAACGATGTTTAAAATTTGAAATTCTATGACTCGATTGCAGTGCTCCCTCCGGAAATAGCGATATTGAGGGTTAGAAATGACCACCAAAAAGAACTGCTCGGTCATTTTGCTGTCTCGCTTAATTGGCAGGGGCACAATTTCATTGTTTGCCCCGGGCAACATAATCCCTAAATACGCCGCTGCCTGTTTTTGATTGGGCACATAACACTTGCGCATTGTACCTGCGATTCCAGAATACCGATAATCACTGATATGTATATTTGTTTTTGTATTGGAATTGAAATAAGCAAAAAATAAGGAAAATCTTATTACAAATTAAAAGACGCTGGATAACTCCAAAATAACTGGATTCTCTGACACTGGACGAGAAATGGATTAATGACACTGATTAGCTAAAGATTGTCAGAAGTGTGGTGGGTTGGGGGTTGGCGTAGTATTTTATTTGTTATGGTATTAAAGCTAAAGACCAGTTATGGTCATGCAATTGCATAGTGAAAGAAACGTTGTGAAATCGATCAGAAAAGGTTGATCATGTAGATGTACTGCAAGGTTCTGGAATCATCAAAATTATAAGAAATTTGGCCAAGTCTTCATAAAGTTAGAAGCACTGTACACAGAAAGATGTATATGGGACTACACACACGTGTGCGACACGTGCATTTGTATCTCTCAACAGTATATAGATATACTAATTTACCTAATATATCAATTATTAGGCGGTTTCCCGTCAACATTTTTATCGTCATGTAATATTCAAAACATATTCTTTCACATGATTGGTAATAAGAGCTTCCATTTCTTTTTTTGAAATTGGGGCGTTTCCAATACTGGTCTTTACCTTTAAGTTAGTAGTAACGTGACACGTTTTATTAATTTTAAACTAAATGTTTTGTAATTTGTTACAATGTGAAACTGCCATTCATGAAAGATGCAATAAAATGCCATTTATCCATCCATCCACAACGACCCCAAAAAATGACCATTGCAGTATTAGTGTGTCAGAAAGGGAGATAGAATTCTTTCTTTTTTTTCGATTATAACGGAACATAATATATTTTCGAAGAATTTCAACAACTGAGGGTTTTTTGTGGACTATATTATGATATGGAAATAAAATATCATCCATAGAGATCAAAAAGTTTTCGCAATTACATTTCCTTATATGACGTTTCTTTATACGATGTTGTTTTCTAGTCTGTACGCTCCTATCACTATGAAGCAAGCTAGCAAGAGAAATTATCACGATTTAAAAAGAGATTTAAAAAAAATATTTTTTAAAGCTTTCTTTCGTTATCATGTCGTTAAGTGAAACGTATTTTCGGTAACATTGCAACGCCCCTTTTGGATGTTTGAATTTTGTATCAAAAATAAAAAAAAAGATAAGATCATTCGTAAAATGGACCGATAAGTCATGAGATGAAATTAGATAAGTAAAAGCTTATAAAAAGATTAGCCACACACGCAAGCGTTCTCATGGCCTAATGTCTTATGAGTTTACCATATGAAACTAAATGAAGAAAACATACCTTGTAACGTAGCAAGCTACAGCCAGTGCAATGATACGGAGTATCTGAAGAAGCGACATGATTACGAACAGGAGGCATGTAAAGCAACTCGTCCAAGACTCTTTGCACAAGGTATGTTCATGCGTTTATAGTGAACGGATTGAAGTGTGTAGCTTGGTGTCACTCTTATCGATATCTGAGTACCATGCTTATTCAAAAGCTAACTCCACAGGGCGCCACACGGCGGGCCATACGGCCGCTGGTGTAAAGACACGCGTGTGTTTGTACATCAATTGGGTTCTTACATTTTGTAGAGCAGTGGCGGATCCAGGGGGGGGGGGGCTAGGGGCCCGGGCTCCCCCTTGAGAAAAAAACATGTAAAAACACGTGATTTTTACCCTTTGGGGGGTTGCCCCCCCCCCCCTCCCTGGCGCTCAAGGGGGGGGGAGGTGCAATTTTTTTAATTTTCGAGGACCCCCACTGAGCGACTTTCGGCCGGCCCGATTTTCAAATTTTTGGGAGCAAGAACAAAAATTGGGCCCCCTCCCCTAAGAAATCCTGGATCCGCGCCTGTTGTAGAGTGTGAAACACGCTTTGGTTGAACACTGATATTACAAGGGAGTAAAGGCGACCCTGGAGATAGAAAGTATGGGATGACAGAGCAAAGAGGCGTACACTTGGGATAGAGACAAACAGAGATGTAGTGTAGAGTGTTGCATGTTGTGTTCATTTATTATCAAAATATCCAAATCAATGCTCCATTGATTAAATTATCTCACATTAGTATCCAAAATAATGTACAGGTGCCCCCGCCCCTGTTTCTGATCCATGTGAGATTACATTGTCCAGCAGAGCACTTTTAAAAATTGCCTTTTAATTATTGATTTGTTCATTTCTTTACCACTCGTGGGATAGAACATTATTAGGCTACCTATCAATTTTCTATAGGGTTCCGCTTAGATAGCGTGTAGCGACAGGAGGAAATGAATGAGGTTGGGGTTGGAGGCTTGAACTATAATTGCTATTGTTTGTCAGTCATTATTTACACCCTTTTATTTTACTCTTGGCCCAGCGTTCTTTTTGTAATGTCCCAACAGCATTGTCTTATTGTTATTTGTATTCTAAAAATTTGATTTTCATTTCGTGTAATCTTACTGTACACTCCGTTTTAATATACTGACAATCTGATGCCTTTAATTCGCTAACTTTAAAGGGGCTACATCACAAGAACCGCTTTGCCCCCTCGATCCGCACCACATGTTATAATTAGGTAGTCTCAGGTCATAAGCGCTTTGCAGACTGAGGTATACAATCTTATGATAATAATATACAGCTTTTATATAGCGCTTAATACTTCTCGGACGTCTCTAAGCGCTTTACATATAATTATTATATTACCCCGGTCATTGGATTCAGTGCTTGCCCTAGTCCAAAATCTGCACGGTCCTTTATGATTTCCCTACACACTTGATTCAAGCCGTTATAATTATGCTCACCAGCCCAGCCTGAGGACCATTTTTTCGCCGGGCGTCCTAATTTAAAGATCACGCCATCATCGGCTGGTAAAAAATAAGCAGGGAGAGATAGCGTTGGTGTGGTGGAGATCAAAATTAAATAGGCCAGATTCTGGACTATGCTTGCCCGCACCAAGCTGTGTGCACAACCCCCACTCCTGGGGAGCATTCCAGCCAGGCGTTACTTGACATTCAAAAACTGTTTGACCAACAATGATGGTCGCATCCCACCGGGTACCCACTTTAACACCTCGGTGGAGAGAAGCAAGTGTAGGTTAATATATTGCCAAAGGATATTAGTGCCGTGTTATCAGATTCAGGCCAGTCCTACTTAGTTCTGTATAATTGCACTCTGTGTGGGACGTAAGCCATGATTTAAGAAGAAAAACATATATTATTATGTAAACAAAGAAAGACATAATCTGGACTAGATTCAGGATTTCCCGCACACTTCGTGATCACGTTTTTCACTCCCCAGGGAGCATTTCGGCAGGTGACATGTTAAAGGACGCTCACTATACTGCGATGACAGTCGTATCCTAGCAGGATACCGTTTCACTGCTCCTTGGCACGTACCACATTTCTCACTGCCCGACTCGACAAGCACCTAACATCTATGAGAAGCAGGGTGTCTTTTTCTTCTTCTTCTTTTTCATCTTCTGCTTCTTCTTCTTCTTTTTCTTCTTCTCCTTATTCTTCTTCTTTTCCTCTTTCTGTTTTCTGTCTAATATTATTACACATGAGCCTTTTATTTAGGTGGAATTTTTCTCTCTGTGCTTGATTTATTGGTATTCGTATCATGTTTGATTGGAATTAATATTTCAAAGCTTTAGGGAAAAGTCTCGAGGTACTAATTTGCCACTCCTTAATTAAGTGAGATAAAAACCATGTCAGAGTAACATGTTGGGTCAGGGAACCGTCCTCTGGCGTACAGTTTCATACAATGTTTGCAAGTGCATTTGTGAATATGCACTACACACAGATTTGATCACAATAGAATAATAATTAACGAGACTAACTTGTCCAGTTCATTATCCGAAGTATAACCTAACCAAGCGCAGTGCTTAATTAGTTTCAGTTTCAGTTTCAAGTTTTATTTCTGCATTTTCCATAAACAATAACAAAAATAACAATGAATACATTTTAGCAATATAATGATAAGTAATACAAGTAGTAATTCACAAATAAATAAATATAAATAATCAATAGTACAATTAATCGTATTTGAAAAGAAAGAAAAGGGGGAGAATGCAGAAGACCGATATCGTAAGCAGAGCTTGAAATGATACCGGCCTTACAAAAGGAGGAGAGGAGACAGGAAGAAAGAGCGGGTGAAGAGAGTGCTGTGCAAAGTGAAGAGTGCACTGCGCGAGCTCCTCAATCTATCAAATAATTTCCTTTTTATATACAAATAAACAATGAATATTTATATTAAAACAAAGTACATGTAGTATATTATGACCAGAATCTAATCTAATCACTATTGTATGCGCTTCAAAATATGAATTATGTGTTTCATAAATCAGGTCGGCGATTTGAAAATAAGTTCAGAAATTACCTGATAAAAATGCCAAGAATCGCAAATTCATGGGAAATGACATCACAGTATAAACTGTACTGTACATGAATAGTGCGGCTGCGCGTCTCAGTGTGCAAATAACATTAATTCAATAATAATAAACAACGATTCAAATAACAATTTAATGGTACCAGTAACTTTCTTTTTCAATTGCTTCCATTAATTTTGTCAGTAATTATCATTATAATCACTGTCATCAGTATTTGTATTATTACTTATTTGTATCATTTTTGTCGTTATTGATATTTGTATTGATTAACATTAATATGATTTGTATTGTATACTGCAGTGTTATATTGACAAATTCAAATTGATTGTAAACTTCTCCAATACCCCAATGTGGGTGACATGAGAATAAATTGCCCTTGTCAGTGTCATTGCCATTGTCATTGTCATTGTCATTGTGCGAATCAATGTCCTTGTCATTCGAAACTACGTGCATTTTCATGGCGCCTAATGCATCTTGCATTATCACGTTTAGCAGTGGGATATCACTAATTTTTTATGGGAACTTTTTGTGGTAGGAAAGATAAATGAACTATCACGTGATGTCACTTGACCAATTAGACTCCCTACATTCTTGAACCCGATGTATACCAGGGGCGGGGCGACCGCGGTGCAGAGGGTACGGTGTGGGTGTGTCCATCCCACCCGCCCCCTCCCGATTTTTCCCCGTCACGAGTAGGCCTACCCGATAAAGTGCTACTTTTCAGTGCATTCAAGTTCTTACCACAATTTTCTTTCGGGCCACTTTTTGTTCTTCTCTTTATCTTCCATTGATGACATTTCCATCTTCCATTAATCCGTGTCTTGGTACAGGACTGCAATGGCGTAGACAGGTTCGTATACCTGGGGGGATGACTCAGGGGCGGATCTAGCTTTTTGCTAAGGGGGGGGGGTTGACCAAAATAATGACGATGCGGAGCATCGTCCACGAGCCGCGAAGCGGCGAACCGATTTTTTTTGGGGTGTTTATTTGAACCCCGTAAGTGATGTTTTCCTGGCATCTATTAACACAATGGAGACCATAAAAAGCAGTGCATGATAACGTCTTTTTAAATCAAGTAACAGTTAAATACACAGTTATATCCAGAGTTATCATGTGTTTGGTTAAGTTACCAGATGAGTTGAATATCTTCTCACAATATTTGCACTTGAAAGGGTTTCTCTCCAGCGTGCGTTCTTTTTTCTTTCTTTTTTTTTTTGTTCTCTTTTTTTTCCTTTTTTTGTTTTGTTTGTTTTTTGGGCCGCCCAAGGGGGGGGGGTTTAACCCACTAACCCCCCCCCCCCCCCGTAAATCCGCGCCTGTTTAATCTTGTGGTTATCTTGTGGTTTGTGGTTTCCAAACCACAAGATAACCACAAAATACTTGTAAGATTTCCTTTTTTACCTTCTGAATTGGCTTTCACCGTGTGAATGCGGCTAATAACAATAAACACAATTACAATAATGATGAGGATTATTATTATCATCATCATAATTATTATTGAATATTATTATTATTATTATTATTATTATTATATTATTATTATTATGAACGGTGACAGAGCGCGCTGGTCGAGCGGTTTAAGGCGCTGTTTTTAGTAACATCACCTATTGTACGCAAGAGTTCGAATCCCATCTTCGACAAAAGTTTTTTTATTTTTTATTTTTTATTTTTTAGTCTATTTTTTTTCGGCATATAAAAGTATTAATGACTGCTTTAATATTCGAGAAATAGTTGTTTTTATACGCTCTCGGGAAGGTTACAATTGGGCTATTGCCCTCGGCACGCCTCGGGTAATAGCACAATTCTAACCTTCCCTTGAGCGTATAAAAACAACTATTTCTCTCAAAGCAGTCATTAATACTATATTATTATTAATATTATAATTGTTATCATTATTGTTATTACTATTATTATCATCATTATGACTTATTAAAGGTACTATGTCCTATTTGCAGGCCAAAAAATGAAAAAGTTAAATTCCAACTGCATTTGAGAGATAATACTTATTTAGAACTTCCCTAAAAAAGGTGGGGCTTGAAAATGTCTTTAAGTGGGAAAATAATGACTATTAGTTGTCAAATCGACTTTAGGGCTATAGAGCCAAAAAGTAATAGTCTTGATTTTCAGACAATTGTACCGAATGGTCTTACGTTTTATGTTGCGCAAAGATTCAATCAGTTTAATCTTGGCCATCACA